GTGTGTGTGTGTGTGTGTGTGTGTGTGTGTGTGTGTATGTGTGTGTGTGTGTGTGTGCAATTTGTATGTTATATATATGTGTGTGTTGTGTGTATGCTGTATAGGGTGTGTATGCAGCCTGTCCACACACATGCAGATGGGATCCATGCTTCTGCAAAGCTCCCTGAAGAAGGAATGGGTGCTGGCTACCTCCAGGCCCTTTTCCTACCCTCAGAAAGCTGGCCAAATGTTTCTATGCAACATCTTCAACCTCAACAGCAAAGTTTATTATCAGCTGCTTTATATCAGATTCAAGACCAATAATTCCATTAAAAAAAAAAAAAAGACACACAACTCACTGAAAACTTGAGACTATGAAAAAAATACATCCTCAGTGCTTGCGGTGACTACTGCCAACAGCAGAGCCCCGAGAGCAATGGTAATCTGCACCAGGAGCTAAAGTTCAAGCCAGTCTGTTCCTTGGAACAGTGGAACTTTGGCACAGCAGGTAAACAGCTAAACTGTGAAGCATACATCACCCCATGCACATAACGATTTGAAAGACGGAGCTAGTGGATTTGTTTGTTTGTTTGTTTTAAGGTATGAAAACAAAATTACAATTTAGCACTTTTTTTATTGTTTTGTCATTTGAGATAGGATCTCATTATGTACCTCTGGCTGTCCTGAAACATGCTTCCTAAACCAGACTAGCTTTGAACTCAGAGAGAATCGGTCCATCTCTGCCTTCTCAGTGCTAGATCAAAGGTGTGCACCACTGTTTTGGGATATTTGATCACACTGTGAAACTCTGAGACTGTGTTAATAAAATTAACCTTAGATTGGGGGCAGAGCAGCAACTAGTTGACAGGAACTGGCCACAGAGGGGATGAAGGGACCAGGAGTAAGGACAGAGAAGGAGTAGGGATTCGAGGTTTTGGGATAAATGCAGAGACACTTCTCTTGCTAGGTCTCCCGCCAAAAAGGAAAGTCAGCTGATTGCTTCTCGGCTTCCCTGATCTAGCAAGTTTTCACTCCAACATTGGATTCCCAAGTCTTTATTGGGAAACGCAAAGATAGAGACTTAATTAAAACCTACATTTGGCAGCTGAGCTGATGTCAGTGGGGTGCTGACTTCAGGACCACAGGGCACTGATGGTAGTTAAATATTTGTAGATTCAGGTGTGGCAGCTAGGCTGACAGAAAACAAAAACAAAAAACACCACCATACCCAGCTATTCTTTTTAAGTATGTATTTTATATGAACTGAGAAGTACTTAAGTGTGACAGATGGTCTGGAAGAAAACACAACATATTCCACAGTTGAATTTGGAAAGGATCCAAGTTGGATCCTTAAACTGCTTTTATATTTTCATCCTTACCACAGTAATAAGTTTATGCATCACTTATGTGGTATTATTAATTTGAGTCTCCATATAGATGTGGCTCAGGAAAATGTGTGGGTTTGTATTATTACTGCTGTGTGTGTGTGTGTGTGTGTGTGTGTGTGTGTGTGTGTGTGTGTGTGTGTGTGACGTGGGGAGCCTGCACAGGTGGTGGTCAGAAAACAGCTCTGTGGTGTTGGTTTCCCCCTGCCACCTTTATTTGAGTTCCAGAGATTGAACTCAGGTTGCCTGGCCTATGTGGGACGCACTCTTACCTGCTGAGTGAGCTCACTGGACTGGTGGTTTGTTGCTACTGTTGTTGTTTCTAGAGACAGAGCGTGATGATTTGAAAGAAAATGTCCCCCAAAGGGAGTAGCACTAATGGGAGGTGTGGCCTAGTCGGAGCAGGTGTGGCTTCATTGGAGGAAGTATGTCACTGTGGAGATGGGCTTTGAGGTCTCCTTTGCTCAAGCTACACCCAGTGAGACAGTTCTCTTCCTGTTGCCTTTGAATCAAGATGTAAGGACTCAGCTCCAGCACCACGTCTGCCTGCATGCTGCCTTGCTTCCCACGGAGATGATAATGGACTGAACCTCTGAACAGAAAGTGAGCCACCATAATTCAACGTTTTCCCTGTAAGAGTTGCTGTGGTCATGGTGTCTCTTCACAGCAAGAGAAACCCTGATTAAGACACAGAGTCTCTTGTCTCTTAGGCTGGGCTCGGACTTGCTGTGGATACAGTGCTTGGGATTGAACCCGGGACTTTGTGCAAACTAGGCAAAGACTCTACCAATACACTCCGCCACCAGCCCCAGGTATGGTTTATAAATGCACTAGACTCCAAGTTCCAACTCCAGAACTTCAGTTTTTCTCAGCTTACTTCAGTGATCCCAGAATCAATCCAGCACATTTTAATACCACAGGATGCAAAAGAGGCCATTGCCATGGTCTGAATATTAATATAAGAAATTTTCGGCCAGATGGTGGTAGCGTGAGTCTTTAATCCCAGCACTCAGCACTCGGGAGGTAGAGGCAGGTGGATCTCTGTGAGTTTTGAGACCAGCCTGATCTAGAGAGTGAGTTCCAGGACATTCAGAGCTATTACACAGAGAAACCCTGTCTCAAAAAACCAAAATCAAAGGAAGGAAGGAAGGAAGGAAGGAAGGAAGGAAGGAAGGAAGGAAGGAAGGAAGGAAGGAAGGAAGAGAAACTTTAACAGCCAACTGTTGGCGCAGTCCTGTAATTCAGTACTTGAGATGCTGAGGCAGACAGATCTCTATGAACTCAAAGCCAGTTTCCAGAAAGATATATAAGAACAGAAATTCCTAAAGCATCTTTTGAGAATCACAGTGGCTCAAGAACTCTAACAAAGCTAAATATAGTTGCACACACCTATATCCTCGCACTTGGGAAATGAAATCTGGAGGACCAGAGTTCAAGGTCTTGTACAAAATAGATAGTTGGAGGCCAGCCTGGACTGCAAGAATTCCTGTGTCAAACAAACCAACAACAAAGAACCATGTACTACCTGTGTGCACACCTTCAATTCCAGCACTCGGGAGGCAGAGGCAGGTGGATCTTTTTGAGTTCAAGGCTAGCCTGGTCTACAAAGTGAGTTCCAGGACAACCAGAGCTGTTACACAGAGAAACCCTGTTTTAAAAGGAAAAAAAAAAAAAA